GCTCTGGTGAAATTTTGCCTCAGGGAATCATTGCACAAACGCCAATAACACGAATCACGTTTGCTGATTTGCGTCACTTGTTGCGTTAAAACTACCTATCAGTGGGTCTCAAGGTTCGTATGTACCAGATGAAATTAAGGGCTGTTGTGAAACAGGGCCTGTGCGGGCAGATGATGTTAAACATCTTCAGGTTCTTTACAAACAATGCCTGAGAAGGGTTGCTGGTTTAGGATCGCGTCAATGAATTCGTTACGGGGTAATCGGAAGACGGGTATGCTCCAGGCACTTCAATTGTGGAAAACATCCAGCTTCATCGACTGCAGTGGCTCGACCATGTGTTTCACGTGCCGAAACACCGTCCTTCGAGACAATTGTTGTTCTCCATGCATCCTTCAGAATGGCGCAAACCACGATGTGAACAATGTATGACGGCAGAAGGGTGTGAAAGAGATCGCGAAGGGTTTGGATGTTGTTGGTTTTGTACGTCTTCCAGGATGGGGCCCCCATCACTCCATGCGTCTGGCTGTAGACATTACGAGAAACAGGAGCTGATTGATATTAGTGGCGTTCGTGCTGTCAATTTCTTCCCAGATTGTCCGATTGATCGCTTGGAGTGTATCCACCGGATTGTTTGCGATAGACCAGTACTAATTTCTCTCCCTCCCTCTTTATTTCATTCTAATCCTTTAAATATAAGTAGGCAAACTTTGTGGTTGTACGGTAGTGAAGCATCGATGTCAACACTGGTGTTGGTGTCTCTCAGCCAGTACCGGCCGCAACACTGTGTGAAGGGAAACAGTTCCTGGAAGTGACAGATATTATCAATGGCTTTGAGGTACTTTTGTGCCGCATCCGTACAGCCAGCCCCGATGAGCCCCCCTGTGCATCAGCTTAGGTGATCATACGTCTGATGCAGACGTCAAGTTGCATAGAGAGGCAGAATATTTTACTCAGCTCCCCAGCCTTGAGCGCGAATTTACTGACCGGAAGGCTCGAACCCGGTCTCTGCCCCTGACTTTCCCCCGTCTAGGCTTGGGCAACCTGACAGTATCCTGGCCCTCGTGCTTCCTTTGGGTGACATGGCAGTTAGGCACCGAAAGGGTGCTGCAGCTGAACGGTTGTACCTACAAAAAATTGCAGGAAGTCTTTCGGAGCTGTAATGGACAAAAAGTTCTGGCCAAGATAGTACCACGCCATAAATCTTCAAGGCGTATACAATATCAATCATTGCTTCACCTTCACATCGGGTCAGTTCACTTCCACCACTAATAGTCTTGATCTTGTAGTTGTGTGGCAGTTTGTGTACCTCTACGACCCATTGAACTGTACCAGTGATCTGATTTCGACACCCATATAGTTTTTTTTTATATCAATTTAGTCGGTAGATAGAGCTCTGAAGAAGGCAGTTTCATGGTTGGGGGTTGGAGCTTGTACGGCTGTTCAAAAACTTAATTGTGATGGTGTGCCACAACCGATCCCCTACCTTACTGTTATGATTTTCAACCAAAGACTTTTGTTTGGGACCCTAATCGTCCTGCTGTCGATGTGTGGGGCACTATGAGAATAACGCGTGTACAACCATGGACTTCAAAACCAGAAGTGTTGTCATTCCACATCGGTCGTCGCGTGGTGTCGTTTTCCGTCTTACCTGCTGCATACAGAAGGGCGGGTAAGCAGGAAATTTCCATCGGTGCCTCATCTTACGCTCATACATTCCTTGCCCTCCCCTTCTCCGTTTCATTTTGAGTATTCTCCGCAGGTTTCAGCACCAGAATTGCCAGCTATTCCAACCTATAGTTATCCCCTTTGCTGGGCTTCAGTGTTGTGGTGACCTTGCCGGCTACACTGGCTGAAAGCAGTTTCTTAAGGCTCAAACATGCCAGGAAGGCCAAGAGAGAACAAGACGGCAGAAGACACCGAGAAATCTTATTACGAGACGGCCTAGAGCTAATGTCTGTCCTCTGCGCACCAGAATTGCCAGCTATTCCAACCTATAGTTATCCCCTTTGCTGGGCTTCAGTGTTGTGGTGACCTTGCCGGCTACACTGGCTGAAAGCAGTTTCTTAAGGCTCAAACATGCCAGGAAGGCTAAGAGAGAACAAGACGGCAGAAGACACCGAGAAATCTTATTACGAGACGGCCTAGAGCTAATGTCGTACTGTCCTCTGCGATAGGAGTGTAGATGCAATAATGTGTTCTCTTCGGGCGACCAGCATGTTCATATTTATGGACGCCGTGATTCTGCCTTCCCTCGAGGAAAGAAAAGGTTGGCCCTGAAAACCTCACACCGATCGGCCAACGGTTGACCGTGACCGCCGGCTGGTAAATCCAGAACCTGGTGCCAGTTAAGCACTGATCGAATGGCTTACAACCTTTCGTGCTCTGGCTACTTCACACCGATTTACGTTCATCTGAGCCGGTTCACAACCCGGGAAATTTTCCCGATGTGAATAAAATCATTCGTGAAGTTTACACCGTTCTTGCCATCCAGTTGCATGATACTCCACAGTATCCTTGTCATTAAACATCAACTAGTCAAACAGTTTTCTTATTGGGACTCAGAAGGAGGGGACACTGTTTTGGGGAAGAATCCTTCCAATTATCTGGGGAGTTGATTGTCAGTTAGAACGATTTTTTAAGCCATCGTTAATCTGTTAGTCACACAGTACGATGAACTACATGGTGCATGCGTTACGTAAGTACTAGCTGAAGCTGTTCTCACTGAAATTTGGTTCCAGATCGGCACTAAAGAGCGTCATGGGCGAGTGAAGTTTTAGTAGAAAATCGTGTTTTAGCGTCCTTCAGACGCTCAGCGTGAACACTGAGGCGAAACAAACGTTGTCGTCGTCAAATATGAACTGTCATTCCAGAATCCCCCACAAACGGTCCCTAAAAACCGGTAACAAAGAATTGTCCTACTTCATCACAGCTAATGTAGTTATAGAATTTTTCGCAACTACAGGACGGTGTACAGTTACATTTGTGAGAGTGGTTTTCTTTCATGCAATTTCAGAATGCTAGAAAACTTCACATAAGTCTTCATTCTGTAATGGCCTTGGAGTGCAATCATTCTGGAAGAACGAGATGAGACTTATCGAGTCAAAAACCTATGTTTCAGTGTCACGAATGACAGCTTTTAGAATGTTTTTTTTTCGGTCTGTTCACCAGCAGGAGAAAAGTTTTTCAAGTATTTACAACATATTGATGGAGAACGCTTAGTCCGAACTGTTCGCTCTTCGTTGGTGATTAATTATTGGAGTTAAATACTCAGCCATTGTATCAGCTACATCCCAAGAAAGCGAAGAAATGAGGTCGGGTTTTGGACATCTGTGGATTGCGTTACAAATTTTGTGTATACTTGGCGAGATGCTACCAAAAACATTCCATTTTTCCGGCACATCACAACTCCACTTCGAACTTGGGTTAGCAAGCCATGGCATTTGTCTTCTGTTCAGTTTCCAGGATAATAATAAAAAAGCGTTTAACTACAAACCATTTTTGGGGTTTTGGAAAGGCCAATGAGAACTCGTTCGATTGACATGGTTAACAACTTCCTGGTTGGGAACGTGGTATAACACTCGACCATGCGGAACCTATTCTGTCTCATTCTTCTGATCCTCAGGCTACTGCAAACATTTGGCATCCTTCTGCTTGTTAGATTGGATGATCCTTGCTAGCCTAAACACTCGTTACTGATGGTTCATCTTTCAAACTCTGAAATTGTCTTACGGACGCTGGGTTAATCGGTGCTTGTTTGGTTCTGTTGTTTGTGCTCCAATTTAGGCCGAGGCGTAGGCTGGTCTTTACTTGTAGCTCATTTTAGGGCATTCGTGGGGATTCAGATCATGCGTCTGTCCGCCTAAACCCATGCACAGCACCTTTGTGCTTTCCGAAGCCAACAAACACGTTTATCGGAAACGCCTTGTGGGCTCTATTCTCATCGAACTGTCTTCGAGTATTAGCCCTCATTGATGCCCACTAACCCCCGCCCTCCACATGACGCGGTCAATTCCATTATATCAACGACAAATTTGACTTCTGTATCCTACGGTTTGATGGTATCGCTAGTTTGTCTCCGCATGAGTCGTGATCCATAACCTGTAAACAACTGTGTTGTCATTATCTCGTTTAAAAATACTTCAGTGAACATTCTTTTCGCCTTGATGGTGTTGCCTAAAGATTCAACTTCATGGTTCAATGCTCCATATCTGGTCAATATTTCCCACCTCAGGCGATCTTTATTTGTACCTTTTCATCCATAAACCTCACCATAATCTCTCAGTTTACCTCGCCAACTTCCAAGGCTACCATCGATAATGTTTATGTAAGCATCATTTACTTTGTCTTCGGTAATAGTCACCGAAAGTCCCGTCCACATTTAGAGCAGTCGGTTCTGCGCTATGGCTACAGGGTCGAGTCAGACTACCCACGATTCCCTCTTAAAACCCATTCCAACTCTACTCTGTCGATCGTACATAAACCCCTTTCTGCTGCGCCCAAACCCCCTTCATCCATTTGATCATGTCTATCTATTTGGCCAATCAAATTTTTTGCGGTAGCTTGTACGTTCCAAACCCATCCATACGGTGGGACAGTGCCTGCGGCCTTCTCTGTCTAGGGATCAGTGAGGCGTACTCGGATCCTATTATTTCGGCGTTCGCTGATTGGTCCGTGGGCTTCATGCATTAGGCATAGGGCTAGCTTGTGATGAGATTGGACAGTTTCGCCTCTGTAGACATTGTCCAATCCGCATCGGACACAGGGCGTGACCCGCTGTTCATTTGCCGATGCGACCACATCTACCCGTATTTTGATCGCATGCGTGTGCACACGAGAGCTTGAGTTGTCGAGACTGCGTCATTCGCATTCATTGATTGCTACGGCGACAACACGTGTTACCTTGGTAACGACTCGTGTACACGACACACGAAGGAAACTTCGCATAATTTAGAAGGCACGCCACCATAACGGACGTCGTACGGGATTACACAACCCGCCTGATGGATGTGGACTACCCCGAAGTTTGCATCGCTGTAAGTGAATTTGAAACTGTATCGCTTGATTGGAAATGCCATTGTTCAACCGAGGAATGCACCGTAAAATTGAGCGCCTGTTGACTGTACTCTCTTGCAGGATTTCCATGTGTTTGAATTGCTCGGGCGCGGTGGATTTGCGCAAGTCTATAGGGCAAAATCAATCATCACTGGTCAAGAAGTGGCCATCAAGATGGTAAGTACGCCAAAAGGGCCGCTACAGTTTGTCCAATATATGTGTCGTTATTAACAGCGTAGCGTACGGTTGATCATGTTTGGAGAAACTGATGAAAAAATTCCTGATGCTTTTTTACTTAGACGCCATTTTTAAGATAAATATTGTATTAATCTACACGCCTGTTGTGGACAAATGACCCCGTGACTGACACGTGGATAGAGGTAGAAGCTCATTCCATAGAGTGATCAGATAGTCTAGTGCACACCCCTTCGTTATAGATCACACTAGGTACCTAGTTGTAGTGAAGGGTCGCTGGACCGGACTGTACGCCTCTTCGACGCACTATTGAAAACCGGATTTGGGCAAACTGCTCGAGTTTTCGATCAGCACCATTGGAAACAAATTTACCGTACAGTGAGCGAATTTCGGGCAAGAACGTCGGACTCGTTTCCTTGATTTGGTAGTGGTGTGGGAAATTCTAGAGTAGTTGTCACCTCTCTTTGCATAAAAGGTGAACAAATCACCTGTGACTGGAGTCCGTCACGTTCTTCAGCCCGTTTCATTGACAACGTTACTTTCGTCTTCATTCTGTTACCGATTAACCACAGTATTTCCACGATGTTAGTAATTAACCCCAAGTGTAGATGTCAATTTAATCACCACCCTTCCTGAAATTCTGTTTTTGGCAATTTCATTGATGAATAATAATGGACCTTATTTTGATTTTTGCTTGGACCTCAACAAGCACACCAGACGTACTTGGTCATATTGTCTCGAACAATGAGCTTCATTCTCTTCAGCTGAAAGCTAGACGGGTTTGCGTATGTATATCTCCTGAATAAAAAAACTGTCCTCCATGCAGCTAAACCGTGCGTCATCTTTCACCTGCTATAATTTTTCCCTACCACTTATGTTTTTCACCCTAAGGTGTGTGTACAGCCACTTCTGATATCGAAACACGAGTTTGCGGTAGTTTACCCGTGGGAATGAGTCATTTATGGTAGGGTGCAAAATAGGTGGTTGTGATATACGACAATTCATTAGGTTAAATTCAAATTCAAATTAACTTGATGGTGTTCATTCTCCGTACTCTAATGGATACTTGATACGCGTATGATTTTTCGGGTCAAGTTGCGCTCCTTTTTCTCACGCTACTTTAACAGTGATCACTCTGCGAGCTTGTTTTTCAGGCCAAATATTTTAAACACCATTCCCTTATCACCTGCTTTTAAACTGTTTGAATATTCTGCTATGTCCATTTCTTCATTGGGCTTCGTGTCTATTGAAACTTCACTACTTTCTGTTTTGGCAGTAGTGTATTTTCTTGCTGATCGTTTCTGGTGCCGAGTTTATCCGTTTGCTTCGGGGCCGCCATACGTTTGTTATCGACATCCTTTTTTCCACAGATTGACAAAAAGGCAATGCTGCAGCATGGACTCGCAAATCGAGTTCGCCGCGAGGTGGAAATCCACAGCCGGCTGAAGCACCCAGCCATTCTTGAGGTAGGTAGATTCCCTACATTGATTTTCCACGCTCGATTTGTATGACTAAGGCCTAAAACACGGTACCAGTTTGGCTTGTGAATTGAAAATGGACTTCAGTATGTTTGATATTCTTACGGGCAAACCGTTCGACGTCAAAAGTGCTGACGGCCAACTTGGTCTGATGTAAGCCTGATGGCGTATTCTACCCCACCAAAGCAAATAATCAATCATTTCGCCTCCGTTTTTCAGTTTGACTGGTTGATGCGCTTGTGGGTATCCTTGCTTGATACGTGATTTTTTGTCCAATTCTTCTCAGCTGTACACGTGCTTTGAAGACTCCAATTATGTTTATTTGGTGCTTGAAATTTGTCACAACGGTGAACTGCAAACGTACATTCGACAGAATGGTCCGGTTACGGAAGATGTTGGTGAGTCATTAGACATTTACTCCTGTTCCTGATGTTTCCTGTAAAATATGTCAAGTTGAAACTCACTTGGATGAACAAAAACTGTTATCAAAACTTATAGTTTCTCTTCGGTTTAAGACGATCTGCCTTTTGTGATGAATGCTGGTCTAAATTTGTAGGACTGTCACTCCAGTGAGCGGTAGACCAGATTTGAAACTTCGGTTAAAATTGCTCACTTAGATTGTCCTCATGGGCCTTCAGTTTTATAGCAACTTAGGATTACACCCCTCCCTTTTCATTTTGTTTGCTTTTTCACCGCTAGAACTTTATCAATTGAATTGGCTTGGCTGTGTAGTGAGGCAGTGTTTCCGCCGCACAATTTGAGAATCAGTCCTTAGCACAGCTTCGCTTTCAACCTGAATACAATGATTATATTGACTTGTGCAATTTATTTGACTGGATGTGGGATTTAGCGTATTTTTGGGAGCCTACCGAACAACATGGAGCACTTTGAGTCATGGTCTAGTCGCTTCACCTTTTCAATACCGCTCTGTTTCGTCAGCTTCAGCAGATGGAACCATACTGGTCTTTTATCTTAAGCAGTTTCCGCACTATTTTTATCTTTTCAAACCAGCTCGGCATTACCTGAAGCAGTTGATCAACGGCTTGCTCTACCTCCATTCGCACAGCATTTTGCACCGGGATTTGACGCTCGCAAATCTACTTCTAACGAAGGATATGAAAGTGGTGGGTTGTCTATATTATTTGTTAAGGTGGCTTTTGTGTGCTGAATTGAGTGTTTGTAAGTTTCGACTACTGGTCCATCTTGCGTTCTGTTCGGTAGCTGATGGAAAGGTCAGTGGTTAATTTCACTATGCAGGTTTAACAGTTAGGGCTCTTTCGAAGTGTGGGCTGTTGGTTGGTCGCGGTTAGATTATTCATTCCCGTAAATTCCATCCTGTTTTTCGTAGTATTATAGCACGAACCGTACTGTTGTAGTGATAATCGCGATGCATGACAAAGTGACCTAGAAAATCGGTTGGCGATACTAGCATTGTTGATGTTGTGATCACTCATGAAATCGAACTCACCGCGGTGAAGTTGAATGCTGAGCACATCGACTCCCAATTTGTAACCTCTGGTAACCAAACTGGGCTCCGCTTGGACAACTGCAGCCCTCAGCATTCATGAGAACCGTTCGGCCTCGCACCGTATTCATGATTTTAGCCCATTGATGAATACTCTGAAATCCATTGTCGTGCAGCTTGCTGTTAACACAGACCATTGATAACTCTTTTGGACTTATACTCCTCAGCAATCCGCTCCTATTACACCATGATGCTGTGCTCCACTTCTCATTCCTACCTTCTGTATTTTAGCAACACTTTTGCCGTCTTTATGCTTACTAGTTGAGTGGCTTATTTGGTTGTAATTCTCTAGCTGAACACATGTAACTGTGTCCTTTTTTAACGCAGAAAATAGCCGATTTTGGACTAGCTACGAGGATCGAACCAGGTGAAGATCACAAAACCATGTGCGGCACACCAAACTACATATCACCGTAAGTCGAGCCCTACTGTTTTGTTCTACGGTGACACCAGCACGCTTTCCTCACTTCTGAGATAACACGCCTCTCCCAGAATACTGCTTTTAGGTGGTTCCTCAAAGTGTCCAAAGTGGAACAACTTTTTTGTTAGGCTTAGCTGATGCTTATGTAAGGTATTGTCGCTCCCCTCAATCTTTAGATATTGAAATGTTTGTATACATCATCCGTGTTTCAGTTTGATTGTTCTGGTTGACCGCCTTTGTGACTGAACCTCCCCTAGTTCTTTAATGTATTGTTGCGCGATGTAAGCTGGTCCGTCCTCATCCATTAAAATTCCGAAGTATACAACACAGGCAAAAACACTTAAATTTTGGTTTCTCTTTCTAGTGAAGTTGCAAGCCATGGCCAACAAGGATTGGAAACCGATGTTTGGTCGCTTGGTTGCATGTTTTACACGCTTATTGTTGGTCGACCGCCATTTGACACCCGAGAAGTTCGTTCCACATTGAACCGGGTGTTAGCAGTTGATTATGAACTTCCACTACATCTTTCCTCGGAAGCGACTGATCTCATAGGTTGTTTGCTTAAACGTCAGCCACAGGAACGGATCAAGCTGCGCTCAATTTTGCAACATCCGTTCATGTGTAAGAAGCCTGCTACTAGTCAGCGATTTATGGTACGTTTTTACCACGCTTACATGCACTTTGAGAAACAATTTATTTAAGCTGCTTCAGTTGCTTATACAGTTACTTGGTGCATGATGCATCCTGAACATTTTCCCGACTTTCAAGCCACTTTGGTATTCAGTATTGTATTCAACGGCCTGACCGCTTTTAACGGCACTGTTAGCACAACGCTTCTGATAGGTCCACAGAATGCATTAGATAAAGTGCCGTCAAGGCTGAATACTAAGTCAGTAATTTGGTTTAACAGCTGGCAGCTGTTAAACCTTTCAGTCAAATCTCGAAGTTCACCTCACGCAAAAAGGATCGACAGTGTCAGTCCTTGCTATTGGACAGTGTTTACCAGGATACCATTCCATTGTGTATGGTGCTTAATGGCTGAAATCCGAAACACGTTTGTCGATCAACAGTGGTCAAACCACGAGAAGCAAAGTAAGAATTCACGGTTGCCTTGCGGGAGCCGAGTTTGGCGTTGCGTGAAATCCCTCGCGCCGATGTAAACCCGAGGGTTAACGAACGTGCAGTCATCTGCAGCAAGTCATCACTCGCCCTAAGAAGGGGAAGTGTTACCAGTCACATTTTACCATCTAGTTCCTGATGTTGTCCGTATCAATGTAATACCACTACCCCCAGAGTGGTGACTTGCAGTTGTTACCGGGAGCCTCCGGTCATCGTAATACTCTCACAAATAAACATACGACAGTTACTTTACTTCGGTGCGCTTGCTCCATTTATTTTCATTGGCACTCAACATTTTTAATGGATGGAAAGGCGGAGATCCTGTCTGAGTTCCTTTTTACCGCCTGTTGCCTTCATTCCATAGAAACAAGATGCCCTAGTTCGTAAGCTGTAACAATGAATATTTGTTTCGTTTCAGGAAAGCTCGCACGACAGCGGGATTGATTCGATGTCTCGAACACCTCTGGGCTGCTTAACCAATAACTTTCCACGTACTGCGTCGAACAGGTCGAGTGAAAGAGCAAGTGGAGATTGCCGTCGTCCTTCTGTTGGATTACCGATACCCTCTCCCGTATCTGACCCGCAAGATCGAACGCACACGCCATCCATACCAGGTTTGCTGCCTCATCAGCCTCCTGGACCGTTAAAACACCAAACAGATTGTCCACGATTTCCACCACCGCTACCTTCAAAAAGCAACTGCTCTAATATGCCCCTGACCTACAGATGCCACGTCTCCGATGGGTTTGTGGAAGGATCGCAAATCAGCACGGACAGTGGGATGAAGCTACGTGAACAGGGGCAGCTGCACCAGATTTCTGATCGAGGGATCATGACAACTAGTCTTTCTGGTTTCTCCCTATCATCCATCTCTAGACCGACAGCTACGGAAGCAGCAATACCTACTGTTCATCGAGCACACTCGGCGCGCGCACAATCCTGTGATAAACGAATTGTCAGTGGGTCACAGATTGCTTTGTCCCAGAAGTCACAGGAAATGCGGCCAACGCCTCTCAATAGCCATCGATTGCGTCCGATGCGCACTTTCACTCGCCTAGCGGTGATCAACATTCTTGAGGATGAATCAGTTTGTCTTGAGTTTCTGAAAAGTGTAACCGCGAGGCAGAAAAACTCAACGGTCACTCCTTCTACCAGGCATTCACCCTCACAGCAGCACCTAGTTACTGAAGTCATGGGTATTGATCCTTCCGGGCAACAACTTGTAATTTATCAGCCTGGAGGTGGTAAAGGTGTTCCACTTAATTCAATAGGACTACAGCACGGCGCGGTCCAAACGGAGCCAAATGATTCTCTTCCCACTGGAGCCCCACCTTCGGCTAGGTCTGGCGATTTAGTATTGTTTTACCAACTCACAGACTTACCTGAAAAGTACTGGAAGAAATATCAGTTTGCTGCCAGGTGAGTGTCCAGTGGTCCTAACATACTTCACAATACATGCGTCACATTGAACCTCCATAGTCTACGAGTCTGAAAGGTAATCTTAGATCTACAACCCTATCTACGACAAATACACTCATTTGCATACCAATTTGGATTTCACAAGAGTTCAAAGCCACTATTGGCCACTAAGTAGCGTTATTCATTCGGCCTCCAATTATTATTTGTTATTCGGAGATCACTCTTGACTACCGATAAATGAAAGAAAGTGGCGAAAATTAAATAATTCACTCTGTTCCAATTTCAATTAATTAAAGCTGTTGGCAGCTGAGGAAAAATGGAAATGCCATTTGATTGTATTTTCACCTCATTTCTGAGTCTTGATAGTGTTTGAAATTATGTTTGGTTCGGATTTCACGTTAAAATAGCCGTTCAGCTTGGTAAGATTACGAGTTCTTAATAACCGCTCCTTAGAGAAGTATTAATTCAGGAGTTGAAATACTGTAGGCCCAACCTGAGTTGAGGTGAGGTCGACCAAGTCGATTTCGACGACTGGAGGTGGTGTGGCTGTGGAAACCATGCGGTGTACAGCATTCATTCGTTTCCAGTTCAGCGTGGGACTGAACGACATGCATTCGGATCGGTGCTTACATTAGACTTGGTACACTGATCTCCCGTAAGATAACGACTAACCAGTTGATAACATGCAACTAGGCCAAACGTCAGAATGCAACACCAAACACCTCAGATGACAAAGCAGTGAACTGCAGCAATGAACTGCGTAGAATAACCAACTCGTCGGAAATTGCGGCTGAAACGTTAAAATGAACAAATTCTTTGATGTATTCTATCCAGTACTTTGTGCCTTCCTTTGTTAAAAAATACCTTACTTCGAAAACCACACTTTCCCTCATCTATCTACGCAGATTTATCCAGATGGTCAGAGCCCACACCCCCAAAATTACACTCTATGCTGATCGGGCCAAATGCATGCTAATGGAATCCGGTCCTCCAGCCGACTTTGTCGCTGAGTTTTACGATGGTGGAACTCGCGTCACCCGTGCAGCGGACGGGTCTATTAGGATCACGCAGCCTGCTCCCTGTTCATCACTGAATGAGGGTTGCACATCGCCGTCTCCTGTGTCAGTCTACCTCGATTCAAACCGGAGTATGTCCGCACTATCGCCAGATATCAGATGCCTTTTAGACTATGTCAGTGAGGTGAGTTTGGCGTAACGCGGTGTACCGATTCGTTTTTTTGTTTGTCAGCACAATATCCGACGCCACCCACTTCGAAGAAAGGCTACTCTGAAAATTTCACTACAACGTGCCTCTAAGCAATGGGCTAGTGTCTACTCCCCTATGTACACCAAAGCCCCTTCCTCCACAAGAAGTGGCCGTCCGCTCAACGAGGGTATGGTGGTCTGTTTGAGTGCATTATGTGAACATGCAGCTTGGCTGTCTGTTATATTTGTCTGTAGGATGTACTGTGTTGCCAAATGAACAACCGGTGTACATATTTACAGATGACTTTCATCTTTCTTGCACATCTTGTTCAACTCCCTGTTTTTTTCCTTGATTGTTTAGCAACGCGAGCGGTGCGAAAAGATTGAAGCTCTTCTTTCTACCACAGACAGAGAAGAAAGACAGTCATCGGTATTCCCCATCATTCTTGGTCGTCGACCGAAGTCAAATACCGGCGGTCCTCTGGATAAGCCAACGGATCACAACGTCTCCGGCCCAACGAGGCTGTTAACTCCTCTTCTTACGAGGCTGGTAGCGGATGTATCCATGCCAAAGCAAGCCACGCCAGCCAGCAAATCTGTTTTCGTACCCAATATCGGCTGGGCTCTGAATCACTCCGATAAGGAACTGCAAGTGCAGTTTAACGACGGTGCGCGACTTCTTTTGTCCTATGATCGTTCTTTGGTGCAGTCTATTCGTTATACACCACCTCCCGAGGATAATCGCCCCGTCCCAACGGAGACAGTTTATGGGAATTCTGATCCACTCCCTGAGGATGTACATCGTCGATTAGAGCTAATGCCTGTAGTTATTCAGCGAATACGATCGGGGGAATGTACATAAATACTTCTCACTTTATTCGAGTGTCACCTGATGCCCCCAACTGTGATTTTCTAATGCCGCGTCACTAGCAACTTTTTGTCCGCCGCTCTCTCCTTTCTTCCATCCTTCTGTTTTCCCCGTTTTCATTTATGGTATTTTCAATCCTTTCTTCGGACGTTATGTCGTTCAGTTCGCCTGTACTGCCTAACTGCCACTCAACTCCTCTTCCCCAAAGACGCGCAGAAGCGCCAATTGTACATACACACCGGTGAACAATCTATTTTGTTAATATTGACTCTGTTATCGATTGTATACCAATAGCAAGAACTCTAACGAGAGGTTTATTGATCTTTATCTGGCTATTAGCAGCTCCGCTTACTAGCTTAACATTCGTTCGGGCTTTCATCCTTTGACCAATTTGGTCAAATTCTGTACAGACTGTGTGCTAGGCTTACTTCGATTGACTCGCGCTGTACGCAAGTGTGTATGTGCGAATGGTGGCTCTTTTGTACACAATTTCGGGCAAATATCTGAGTGATAGTTTTGCTTTCCAGGGCCAAAAGATGCTTTGTGTACATATGATTTGCATTTTCAGTATGAATAGATTTTTACCATATTGATCTTCGTGAATTTTACGTACCGTATAAGGAAGGAATCCTCTCCACAAACTTATCGCAAGTAACCAAGCAGTAGTCGTGGCCCCAATCGATCTGAGATAAACCCAATACTGACTCGTGGGTTTCCATACCGCTCGTTGAATCTCGAGCTCCGTTATGGTATGTGTGGACTTCTGAGGACAATTAGCTCTATCATTTAGTTTTCGTTGAATTCGGACGAACGGTGACTCCGCAGTAGCATCAGAGTCTTCGTACTTTTCTATTCAAACGTTATTTCTACTCACTGATGCAATCGCCATCAAGAATTCTTCATCGCCTAATGAAAGCCGCTCAACTGATTTACCTGTACATGCCCAATGGGTGTCGGATGAGGATTACAAGTTACAGTCACATGCAACCAACTCTAAGGGACTTGTACTTCTTTGAGCTTTGTTTTTCACTGATCCATGTAAATCGGCTGTTTACCAAAATTTCGGACTCCATGGTGCAGTAGTGAAAGTGGTTAACTGAAATTAACTTCGAACGGCTGCTGTTGATTGTCTTGGTTTGTAACGGGTGGCGCGTTGGGAACACTGTCTACCTGTTTTTTTTTTTCGGGATTAATGGCTGTTGATTGTCTTGGTTTGTAACGGGTGGCGCGTTGGGAACACTGTCTACCTGTTTTTTTTTCATCGGAATAGTGCCATTATTACAGTACACCTATGGTGTCTATTTGGAAGGTAAAATAGCAGTAGTGAGCTAATCACAACGCAGTCAACTACTGACGAACGCACATGGACTGCCAACACTTCAAGTTTTCTAACGTGAATGGTGAGTTTCCGCCATTCGTCAAGCTAGTGGACCGTCTACAGCCTAATCGTTTGAAGGAAACTCAAGGAGCTGGGTGATCTTTCCAGTTCTTCTATTTCTTTCTTTCTTTCTTAGGGTTCCGACCCTGAAGCCGCCGGTTTACTGCAGGACAAATTTCTGGAGTTTAAACGGAAATACTGACACACAACCCAATCACGTATTGTGATTCATAACCCGAATAATCACGGTTCCCGCTCACAACTCACCATCCTACAGGCAGATTAAACGGTTAAGTTCTTAGCTACTGTCTGTAGGGACTATGGATGAAACCCACGCGTGTAGATTAGGCGGTTTTTGTGTGAACTAAAACAAGCTAACACTATTTCATCCGTTGTTTCTTACACACTATCACAACCGTCGATTTCATTCTGGTTATGAGAAAGGGTCTTTGACAATGTTGAGGAATATCGGTAGCTCGGGTTGAACCATAATTTGACGTCCTGTCCCAGACAAGGGGATGACCACCAACTGATCAAAAATTGTCGGATAGATTTCATGCGTCCTAGCTATCTAACTGCGATCGACACAATCGGGACATTTACTGACTCGTCATTTGATAAACCAATCACATCGCTAAAGCGTGAAAATTCAGATGTCCGGCGTGCGTCGGCGGAGCGGTGGTAACGCTCCCCTCGCACCTTACATGTCCTAAGTCTAAACTCCGACACAATCAAGGATATGTACAGCTGGTTAGTTCTAAAAATAGCGAAACTCAGGTCCAGTTCTTCACTCGTTTGGTGTGGACTCACCAAAATAATTGCCCCATGACACGAGGACGACTGTTCAGACGAGGGTGATGTGAATGGAAATAAAACCTTTGTTACTGAGCTGTTCGGATCCAACGTGACTTTCCTCAGCTGTGGTTTGAAAACTAGACAGCCATAAAAACTTACAAGGGTCTATCCCAGAAACTAAGATGTGCTTCGTGTTCCAATACTGGGGATCATGTTTCCATCCTTAGCAAGGCTCCCTTCTAAGTGTATCGGTTACACTGTGAATGGGATTTTCCACTCATTTACTGTCAACTTTTGATTGTCATCCATGTAATAATGGTCCACATGCCACAGCATCAACTCATGAAAGTCGCTTCATGCTAACAGCTCTGTGGTTTTGTGGTTATCGTGCAACGTGAACACGTTGGTGATACCCGATGTCCAGTTCCGATAGCGGTGAATGCAACATCGGTTGTTTCAATGTCAGATTTCAATCTCTTAGACAGGACGATATTTGTGGAGCAGTGCTTGTTAACTTTGTCTTGCCGGCTTAGTAGCTTAACTTTTGGATTGTGACACTCAGGAAATCCCGGAGCGTTTTCCAAAGACGGGGTAGTGGTGGTTATCTTCACATGAAATAGGAAATCTTTCACGACAATGTAGAGTACGCAAATAAAACATCTCGGACGCATAGGACAAAATATCCTGATGTGTAAGTGTATATATATATATATATACATA